CAGCATGGAAAAATCGATTTTAACTGATTTCTCGAACAACAAATCGATGGACACATATGGCTGTGGTCAAAACTGATTTCAATGGATTTTTCAGCATGGAAAAATCGATTTTAACTGATTTCTCGAACAACAAATCGATGGACACATATGGCTGTGGTTAAAACTGATTTCAATGGATTTTCCAGCATGGAAAAATCGATTTTAACTGATTTCTCGAATAACAAATCGCTGGACACATATGGCTGTGGTCAAAACTGATTTCAATCGATTTTTCAGCATGAAACGAATAACGTTGAATTACTTTTAGTGTTAGAAAATGGCTATCGGGTATCACGGATTTCATAGGCATGCGTTTATATTAACTCTATGTGAAGAGTACGACGGGAAGTGAATGGAAATAAGTGATAGTTTGAGGTGTAGAAAGAGATGCTGTGTGAGTTGAATGGAACGGCATGAGCTGTTGAATGTGCTGTAACAGATAGAATGAGGCTATGTGTTGCGAGAGCAAATAGAATGAATGATTTAGGTGATGGGTTATTTCTGCAAGACTGTCGAAGTTTATTGTTAAGAGTTGGTTAGGATGGTAGTGTCAATTGGGTGTAGTAATGCTTGCGTATCCATGAACAGGAAGGTGAGTGTCTAGGTGCTGTGACGAGGTGTTGGAAACTGATAGAAATGTCCAAAATTATTTGATGGCTGAAGATAAACGCACTTTTCCATGAAGTCAGATGTAGAAATTAAACTGGTGTTTCTTGTTCTTGTGTCTACGGATAGTATACGATTATAGTGGAACTCGGGACCATTCACTGACAGGTTGCATCGTAACGGTTGACTTTTGTCGAAATAATTAACGAGCAATAAAGGTTGTTGTGTTTCAGCAGTGAAGATTGATGCAACGCGCCCAAAAGTTGGACGACCGTTGAGTCGGAAAATAATACTACTATCGTCTGATTTCTTGCCATCAGCATATTGAATAGTAGATATTCGCACATGACCGATATATAGCACATGAAAGGTTTTGATAAGCGCTTGAGGAAAGTACATCGAGGAAAGATCATGATGAAGATTTGTCTCGTGCAGTAATCGGATACCATAATGAGGCTTTTCCGCCGTGTAATAGAGCTCGGTTGAAATAAAATTTTCGAGAGAAACGTCTAATGAAGATTGTTTCAAGTGGACAATACCAGCTTGAAGATAGTGGAGCGAAGATATCATCTCCTCAGCATGACGTCGTGTACCTTTGGTTGTTCGAGTTATTTTCCCTGCAATGAAATACAGTAATTATATATTTCTCGAGTGGAGAGAGAAGCTTTTGTGAAAGGTTTTGTTAAAATGATTTTTCTTTGATAAGGTCAGACAGCCTTGTGGGATATGACAATCACTGGTTAAGTGTATTTCGAAAGCTCTTTTTTGAATCGAACCGCTTGTAACATTATGTTTTAGTCAATTTTTATACATGTAAATCTATTTATACATGCTTTGTCGTTGAAAAGTGATTTAATGCACAAGTTTCTTGGCGAACATGAGTCGCTCAATCCCATCCTAGCTTTTTTGCTGTTACTTGTGTGCTAATATGTGTAGACTCAGCTCAAAAACTATAAGCGTGTTGTGGAATGCGAGTAAAGCTAGTTTGATAGGATTTAAGGCCAACGTTCAGTGTAGATTGCTTACCCAAGATGCTCTCAAAATTGAATGTTGTAAAATTTGTAAGAGGTCCGAAATCTTTGACTGTTGCTGGTATATGAATAACGGAATGTACCACTTGGACAACATGTCTTCTTGTATACAATTCAGCGAATTGCATGACGAAGGACTCTGACAACTGTTGAATGATTGATAAATTATTTTGTGATATCTTTCTAGACTCTGCCAGGTGCATGAGTACTACCAGCTGCAGAAGATGCTCATAGTATTCCTTCTTCAAGCTTTGAGAAAAAATTGTGTGTCCAAATAAAAGCAAAGTTCGCAATTCGTTAGCTTTGAAACTTTGATATTCGAGTAAATTTCTTGGTAATCTGGTTGTAGTGGAAGGAAGACGTAACATAACAAACAAGCGTGATATTTCCCGTAAATGATGCTTAATACTCCACTTTTCGGAAGAATATTTCTGATGAAACCATAGATATAACATCCGTTTCTGAAGATAAAAATAGATGGTGTATAATTTTCAAAGGTCTTCTTACAAACGCTCCAGTGTAGACATTATGCAAACTATCAGCCATGAAAGAGATGCCAACGTCAAAAAAGGTCAAAGAACGAAGTATACATTCCCCTAAAATGCCTTTTTCGGCAGATACATGCTTTGCTTTTTGAATTTCTTGTTGTTTCTTTGTCGCACAAAGAAAATTACGCATTCTCTGTTCATTCTGGCGCTTTAAATCCAACAAAAGATCATATCGTTGATTTGACCGCAATTGAGCCTGTTTTAAATCAGTCTGAGTCATTGCAAAGGATCTTGTTGAGCCTCTAGCCGATGTCTTCATCATTGTGCCTATAAATATAACTGCTGAATGTTGAAAAGTTTGCAAGAAACCTCGAACTTCAATTATTTTCTTGTAATAAAAATTAATCAAAGTCAACTTTCATTCATAAAATTGTTAGAATCTAAGCAGAGTTATTTTATGTTTCTCTTGTTCAACACTTCATGTAGTTTTCATAAATTTCTTTTCGAATATAATTAGACTGATTATGCGATCGTAAATCATTTGTCTGTCATTCAAAGCTTTTCAAATGCCAGTTATGTCGCTTATCAGGATCTTTTCCAAGAAAGAAAACTATACAAGCTGACTTTTGAATATATACGATAGATGTATTTCATTATTGCTCAACTCATGGTATAGAAATGGCACGAGTTGACCATTTTCGTTGTTCAAATAGGACATTTATTTGTACAACAGCCAGAAGGTATACAGTCATGTTGATGACGAACAAGATGTTTTTCATGCATACTCAACGAACTGCAATGTGCTTTGTGAAAATTCTTTTCATATAGCTGTACTACACTGCATCAACTTACAGTATAGTACTGTGTGAAATTCGAATTGTCCGGATGTCACCAAAAATATCCTTCTATATTCTATTAGAAGTATTTTCGATTACTCTGTTTTATACAATTTAACCAAAAAAGCGATTTGAATAGTCATTTTTACCTTGAATTTCGCAACGGCCACAACCGAAGCTCGCAATAGGTTCTGGTATATTTTGTATCAAAGCCTGCGCAGGCTTATCACAGCATGCAGCGATTAAGAAAACTCTCATTATGATGTTTGGATTATTGGGAAAATGTCGATAATCTTGGAATATATAACCATTCTCCAGCAAACGTAATTCTTCAACGACAGGTGACAGTAAGCATTTCATGTCTAACCGAGAAGGTTTATGCGGTGCTAGCCACACACCAGCTATGATAATATTTTCCAAATTATAACGTTGATCAAGTGGAAGTTCGTTTATCACTAACAAAATCGGCCATATCGACTTGTTTGTTTTCTTTTTTACTTCAACGCCATCAATGTTCATAGTAAATGTGAGAAAACGATCATGACACGCTCTCTTCAATTGCGTATAAACATCACCGTATCTAATATCAGTGATTAAATCACTTGTACATGATGAAAAGAGATTAAATATATTGTTATTATTCAATATAATCTCTAGCTGATTCGTGATTGAAAAGTTAATGAAAGTTTTTGCATAACTATAAGTTGGTATGTCTAGTCCACACTTAGAACATTTTGATGCATTTGTCGACGCTGACATGCATGATTCACATGGTGTAAAATAAGTACGTGATGGTTTGATCGGAGTGAGTTGTTCTTTCAATTGATACCATGAACTTGGTACATTATCAACACCGAAAAGAGTTAACAGCAACAATATGTCTGATATGCATTCAATAGAAAGATTATGACGATGTTTGAATAAAACCAAAGTAGCAGCGATGTCTTTCATTGAACAAGAACGTTTTGTTGAACTTCTATCTTCCTGTAGCCTGTAAATTGTTAGAAAATTCCATGAATATAATTATTTGGTTTGAGATTTAATACGTCAAATAAATTAGAAAAATATACAGATGAAACATTTTCATCGATATCTTAATAGGTGAAATAAAATAGTGTTTACAGTAAAAGACGATACCTGTCATACACATCGATGTCTGGATCCAGTCCATCCATATCGAAAGGATCGCTCATATCCACTTCATCATCAACATTCGACGAAACTTCCATATGAGAGTCATCTTTCGTCTCGCGGATTATATCTTGCACTTGCATTTCACTAGCCATTGCTCCATTTATTCTTGTTGAGAAACCATGATAACGATTTAGAGCATAACCTAATGTTTTCAAAGTGAAGATCTTTTGACTTATCGAAAAAGCTTACCTAATTCTATATCACGCTGCTGAATCCTTCTTCTTCTGTACACAGATGATTTACTAGTCATTGATTTTGCAAATAAGACAGAGAGATCGAACTAAATCAACGATACGCTCACTTTTATTAATAGTTCATGAGTACGAAATGAAACGTTCAATGACACACTATATATATAGAAGAAGTTAATAGAGAAAAATACCTGGGATAATAAACAATTTGAATCAATGTAGATGGTTGTAATAGAAAAAGTTTCTCAAGAGATCAATAATCTATCAAAACAAAAGTTCAATATTCAATAAACCTAGTTCACAAAATGATCCATTCAAAATAAATAAACGAACAATTTCTTCACAATAGACATTGTTCATATGAAAACGGATCGATATCGATAATTATAAAAGAAACACGGAGAAGAAATTTCACAAGAAGAATCCACGACATGAACGTGTATCGTAAATGTTTGTTGATGGTTTACTGCGACGAATTCACTGCCGTTTCTTTTCATTGCCAGCATTTTTACGATTCTTATATTCAAATGCGGCGAAATAGTTGCCCATTGCATGTCGAATTTCAACGTCGGCAGTGGGATCAGACGGATTAGACAATCTCGTGTACTCTATCAAAATAATTATTTCCAAAAGTAAACAAAACTTTTGTTAACTCACTGATGACAGCATTTCGGAAAGGCTTGTTTTTCAATCGTAATTTAGATTCGGCAGATGGAATAGGAAAAAGATGTTTCATAATCTGACGAGCCGTTGCTGTGGCAGACTTACGATGACACGTTGACAGATCTTCTTCAGTCATACCTAATTCATTTGTTATCATCTCTAATAACGTTTCCATGTCTTCATTGTCATCACTATTATGGATTCCACGAAGAATGTCCGTGATCTCCATTAAGTATTGAATAACCCGCGGGTCCTTCGGACGGGCTAAAATAAAAGAGATACGTGAAACATTAATTTTCTACGTAAATTGGTATTGTATGATATCCTTTTTGACACCGAACTATTTCTAATTTATCGTAAAACGAACTGAATTCATTCTGTCTTACCATTCACAGAAGTGTTAAATTAAAACATCGTCCCCTTCAACTCTTTTGATTAAAGAAATAAGTCGACATTTTTTATTAGAAAATGTAAGAATAGAATTTCTGTGTGATCAATTTTTATCGCACTCTGCTTAGTTTGTTATTTCATTCGCAGAAAAAGATGTAAATGTGAATGTTTGAAAACATTTCGTGTATTGAAAAAATAGAGAAAATTCGTATACATACGCATCCATTCTTGCTCGTATCGAGCAACTTGAGCTTCCAAAGCCAAACATTTTTGTTCCATCTTCGAGTATGTCGCATATGGAACGGTCAACGTACTAGAAGGTATCTTCTGCTTTTTCATTGGATTCGACACTAATTCTTCCAGTGATCGTTTTGTGCCTTGAGAAACGAAATACACAATGACAAGATATTTTCAAAAAGTAACATCAACGATATACCTGTGGGCTTGTCGGCTGTTTGGACTACTGACGAATTTTCCTCTTCATTCTCTTCGTCAAATCCTTCTTGTTCAATCTCTTCTTCATCAACGATTTCGTCCTCGGACGGTTTGTCGATCTCTTCATCAATGAAACCACCTTCTAATGACTCTAGACTTTCTTCATCGGCTAGAACTTCTTGCGTATTTTGTGATTGAACTGTTATTGATGAAAGAGGTTTGGATGACTCCTTTCTTTTTGAACTTGAAATTTCAGTATTGTTACTTGATGAAGTACTCTCGATCGTTGACATGATTTTCGAGCAATGTGCTTCTGTCCCTAGAAAGTGAACCGTTATGAAAAAAGGATGATTCTCATTCCAACTAACCAATGGCTAACACTGGCCCACGCCATCGATTTCGATTATCATCTTGCCACGATACGGTAATACCTGGTGCTAACTGAACACCTTTCTTCGCCGATAACGCTTTCTTCGAATCAGCAAGAATGAGCACTTGCGATGTTTCATCGCGAATCAAAACAAACTGTGCTTGATTTTCTTTTTCGGGATTATTTTTTCGTATATTACTAAGTTTTGGTGCCATTGTGGATAATCAAACTGTGTGGTTGATCTGAAAAATAGAATTTACAATACGGATATTATTAGTAATGTTCATATAAAACCGTCAATTGCACGAACTACTCATAATAACCACCTAATTAGCTTATTTCAGCACTCAATTGAATTTCCGATGAACAAGATGTGCAAATTCGAACAGACTGAAAACAAGTAAGATCACGACTTCTGTACAATTAACGAATACATAATGTAGAAAGTTAACTTTGTTCATCAACTGAAAATGGAGGACAATCTAGTTAATGTTTGGTCAGTCGATTAATATTCATCCTCTTTACTTCAACAAATAAGTCTTCATTTCTTCATATATTGCGACGAAAAAGAGAAGAAAATCAGAAGTGGTGGCAAAATATTCCATAATTTCCTTTCTATAGATGGCGCTTGAAACAACCTTCCCTTTTATCTCTCGTTTGCCTATTTATAATTTCCACTAATTAATTTAATTAGTTCCAGCTTAATCCTGCAAACCGGCATCTTCAAAAATCGATTTTCTATCGAAAATCAGAAAAATCTGATTAAACTGATTTAAGGATAAGGATAAGAATGTCGGATAAGAGATGCAACCAGAATCAATTTTTAGTAGAACTACGCTTTTTCTCACCAACTCTACCTCATACAATTGTGAATTACATCAACTTTTTCAAACATTCTAGAAGCAAAACAGATCTGCATTCATCAACTTGTTCATCAGTACAACTTATCATGGATCACTTATCCGAGAGATCGGATTGTTCTCCTCCTAAATGGATCTTAATCAGTTTTGCAAAAGCAAATGCACTCTCATTGTCTTTCTACTAAGTGACACTCCGCTTCACATAATATCCTCGGTGCCTCGTCTTTACTCGACTTTAATCTACACAAACAGCTATGCATTTTTCATTCTCATTTCATTTTTCGTGTTTTCAGCGAGCCGTCCGCCACGATCATTCCTTGTCGGACGTCCGGATTTGAATAGCCCGACAGGTATGAACCTATAAATACCCATACATTTTTCATTTTCATTTCACTTTTCGTGTTTTTAGTGATCCGTCCGCCACATTCATTCCTTGTCGGACGTCCGGATTTGAATAGCCCGACAGGTATGAACCTATAAATACCCATACATTTTTCATCTTCATTTCACTTTCAGTATTTTATCGTGCTTGTGCGATTTTCTATAGATTCGTATGGTAAATACAGTTGGCGTGATATAATATAAAGTTAATTTCTGTTGTAGATTATTTAATATTCAAATGTTTCGATTCGTCGAATGTTATTGAAGAAAGAATGTTGCAGTGAAATTCACGTCAGAAGTCGAAGAAAATTGTGATTTAGTTGTAGGGAGGTTGTGATTAGCTTGTGCTACGTTTTACAGCTCATGACTAACGGCACGATCTATATGGAGATTGATCTACGCGTGTAATACCTGACAGTGGAATTGGGACAGCCACGACAGTATCATACACGGTTGATGTAATGTCGGCTGATCTCTCTGTGCTAGATATAAAGTATGGATGACGGATTGTACTGGCTGACCTGAGAGAGCATGGTGAATAGGGACAGCAGGTCCAAAAAAAACGTACACCTGCTAGTATCTAATGCTGAAGATGGTCAGATTTTGTATTCAAAAAGTACCCATGTAAAAAAATGATGAAAATCATGATTCTTGTGAGAAATCGATTTAAATGGCACGATTTTAATAGCTTGGAAATCAATTAAACTAAAATAATCAATTGAAATCGATTAAATTGTTGTATAAAATCGATTTTAATCAAATACCTTTTACTAAAAAATCAAAATCATCGGGTTTTCGTCGATTATACATCACTTAATCGATTAAAATCGATTTTAATTGATTATTTTAGTTTAATTGATTTCCAAGCTATTAAAATCGTGCCATTTAAATCGATTTCTCATGAGATTTCTTATAAGAATCATGATTTTCATAGTTTTTTTACATGGGTAGTCAAGGAAAAATCGATCCAAGTGTACAATGCTGAGAAAATCATGAAAATAAGATTTTGTCGATTCTTAGAAAATAATGGACTTTCACTGATTTTGAATTGATGATAAACCGATTAAAATGACACGATTTTCATCTGATTTCTACATGTGAAAAAATCAATTAAAATTTCTTTTTCTGGAAAAACTCATAAAAATCGATTTTCAAAAAAAATCCAATTAAACCGATGTTTTGTCGCTTAAAAATCGGATGAAAATCTGGTGAAAATCGTGCCATTTAAATCGATTTTTCATCATTCCAAAATCGGTGGAAATCAGGTTTTCGGCGTTAATTTTTTACATGGGTACCCGCAAGTCACCAGGAACATGCGCAGACAGCGACATTTTCGAATGTAAATGAGAGGAATGCTCCATTATCGAAGCAGTCCTGCTATCAACTGTCGAACAAAAAGAGGAAGGTCCCGAATGCGGACTTTGCCTGTCGAAACAGACAATCTAACGTGCATGAACAACATCAATGCTTTGTCTGTCAGCAACAGTTCCTATCACGAAACGGCCTACAACAACATCTACGTGATCAATGCTATCCACAAGACATTCGCGAGAACAGAGGTAGGACAAGTACACGTACACAAAGTACACGTACAAGTACTTGTACGTGCATGGATATACCTGTACTTCTACTTGTACTTGCCAGAAAATACTTGTACTTCTAGTAGAGTACTTTATACCTGTATTTCAATCTCCGAAGTGATACAAAAATAGACCAATGAGATTACAGGATTCATTTGCCCATTTTCTTCGCTATTCTCAAAGAGAAGCCCTTGGTTACCTGTACCAATGTTGGGGTAATCGAGTACGGTCTATCATTCTAGTATAGGTAACCATGGGTTTTCCCTTGAAAATAGGCGAGAAACCACTATCTGTGCTCTGATTGGTCAATTTCCACCAATCAGCGATGACCGCTATTTTTTTTCAAAAACTTATTTTCGCTGGAAATCGACTAGGGAGGCCTTATAGAAGGACGTTTTTTTTACCTCCAGATATGTGCATTGGTTGTTTATTTCCTTTCAAGGAGGCAGTGTTTTACTCCGGTTGTGCGATATTAACCATGGACCTTTGAGTTTTCGTTCATGAATCTATAGATGCGGAGTCAGAATGGATCTACAATTGCGTCCGAAGTAATAGAAGATCTTTGTTATACGTTAATCACTTAATTAAGTGGAAATTAACGGTTAAGTGTAACGCGTTAATTGTTAGTATTAACGTTAACATCAACCGTTAACGTTAATATTAATGGTTAACGGGTTGCTGTTGACGTTAATTTCAAAGTAACGGAAATGGTCCACCCCTAGTATAAGTACTCTACTAGAAGTACAAGTACAAGTACTCTGAGCTAAGTACAAGTATTTCTACGTTGTACTTGAAAAGTACAAAAAGTACAAGTACATGTACTTGCGTCCTACCTCTGATTCCACTGATATAATAGTAATTAGTACGTTTCTCAGTAGTAACACCTTGGAAAATGACAAATGAGATGTGAAATCGATAGGGCTATTCAAAATCTATCCAGGACCAATGTTTGTTTTATTGGACTGTTATGAAACATTCATTACAACATAAAATAAGGAATTATCCAACATGTTTCTTCTATTAAATATATAGGTTTTCTTTCTTTTCTTTTCGAGTCTCTTATACATATGTTCGCTCGTTCTAGCTGCTAACCTCGATAGGTGTTTCTATTGGTCTTTTCCTAGTGTTCATCTATATGTGCGATAGTAAAGGTATTTTCCAAGGTAAACATATAGGGGAAATAATCAAATGTCATAGGTATATATACGGACCATATTTCTTATGTTAGAGAGAGCGTTTACTTATCGAATTGGTGGTTATTAGTCTTCAATAAAGGTATTTAACTAGATCTAACATGGACAAGGCTGTGAAAAAAGTTTAAAAAATAAATACTAATTTTTTATCATCTTTGAGTGGCTTTTTGCATTTTTGGGAAGCAAGAAGGGGTCCGATAAAAAAAGTATTCTATTGCAAAATTGTAGAGCTCGTCGAGTTCTACTTGGAATGCTTCTTGGTATAGTTGGAATGGTCTCACAGGCGAATCGGGCCAGGACATATTCGAATCGGAAGCTAGGATATTCTACGTCCTTTTTCTAGTATAGTGCAAATTAACTTGATGATGTAGGTATTCATTAAGGATAACTTTAGATCCCCCTTCGTTATCATCGAGAACTTTAGTTTAATCAAGCTCAGATAAACGAAGGTAGCCGATCTGTTCTAACGATATCTACATCAAATTGACCAAGGGAGTATACAGAAGAATGCTGAAGAAGTTCATTTATTATGAATATGATGATTTTAAAAAATACTATGATATTCATCGTAAAAGATCTTAGGAAGAACTCCAAAAATATATGTGTGTATATATAAACTTTTTCAGTATGAATTTGACGTACACATGTGGAAATCAAATAATTAACTAAATAAAACTACGAAACAAGACATGAAAGTACACATCAACAAATGCCAGCTTTTTTAGGTCTAACATTTCTCCATACATAATAGCGCACGACAGTGTACAATGTTAATGATTTCAGGATATCTGATTAAAAAATGCAAGAAAATGTTTTATTCTTTTTCGTGACAAGTAGCGATCTTTACAGTTTGTATTTGTATTTAAATATCTTTTTCCTATACCACTAAGGATGGATTATGATACATAGTCCGTTTTATAATATTTCTACAGTTGTTGCATCTATCTGGAACGTATAATCATAGACAAAATAAGATTTTGTGTGTTTTCTGTGTCTATTAGTTTTCTCAATTTCTTAGTGGCTTAATTAAAGTTTTTAATATTCGCTAGAGAAGTTACTACGATTTGCTTACCTTCAGATAAATTCAATGGTTTCCAGACCAATTCATTATTCTCTTGTGTTGAAATCGTATTGTTTTGGTCATCATTCTCTGTCTTGATAGGTTTTGATGTTATAAGAGTATCATTGTTTTGTGAAGCGTCTTTGCTCAGAGATGAAACTTCATTTCTAGTTATTGAACTGGCAGAATTTTCTGATTGTTTTAACATTTGTGAATAAATTTTCTCGGCTATATCTTGAATCGATATTCCTTGTAGAAGATATACTAGTGAAATATGAACAGAATATCGACGAGATAACGAATGAGTAAGTGAAATAGCTATTAGTGAATCTAACCCTTGTGCTACTAATGACTTATCAATATCTAGTGTTGCTGATGAATCTGATGAATTGAATAATTTCAAGACTGTTGAATAAATTTCCTTAATAATCGTATCAATGTGTGTGATGTTGCTGGATATCTTGTCAAATTTATTTTCACTTTGTGTAGATATCAGTGCGACCGTCTTATCTTCATAACATACTTGATTATTGAACGCATAAAGAGGTATCCGCTCAAGGTAAAAACGAATCGATTGATCAATGGAAACTGAAGCCCATGTACGCGTATGCCAGAATTTTGACCAGTTCACATTCTGTATTCGACATAAAGATGAAAGTATTGTTTGCTGTTCGCTTTCTTTACGTTTAAGAGACCATATAATCGAAGGCACCCGATTACATCTCAAATGATCTATACATTCTTGAATAGAGTTGACTAATACTGGATGCGGTGATATTTCCAAAAAGGTCTGTATGGTGCAATCAGAATCCTGTAAAATAGTCTGAATAGTATGACTAAAATTTGCAGGAGATCTCAAGTTTTCCCACCAATAAGTATTAGAGAAACATAAATCACTACATTTACTAGTTACAGTTGAGTAAAGTTTCGCATCTGCACAGTCTTTATCGAAAATTTCGTTCTGATTTGTTAAATGTACTCCACTGATCTGATCTAAAGATGTTAACAGATCTTCATGTATATTAAAATTGTCCATCAGTGGACTATGTAATGCATTTTCGAGTCTTATCCACGTTTTGAAAATTTCTGGTCTTGTTTCCGTTAGTAACTGATATAACTGTTCGAGTTCTGCTTCGTAACCACTGAAAGTCACTGAAGTGGGACTATTAATAGCGGCAAATGATATACGATGTTCGAGTCCTTGAAGTAATGCACGTGCTTCTGCAACAGCAAGACCTATAACTGCTAGCATGCGTCCTCCTTGTCGTGTATTACGATGCTGAAGAACTGAATACTGGTATATCACTTTGCAAGCCTCCGACAACGTGAGATATCCCCCAACATATGCAGCAGCCACTTCTCCAACTGAATGACCTACAATTATTTTCGGATATATGCCCCATGATAGCCAAAGTGCAGTCAATGCTATTTGTACGGCAAATATGGCAGATTGTGCAATATTTGTTTCATTGATTTTAGATGAATTTTCAGAACTCGTATTAATCAATTCATCAATTAACAACCATTCATTGGCTAATTTTTGGAGTTCTTTACTAATCTTTTGAATCCATTCACGAAATACTGGCTCAGAAAAATATAATTCACGTCCCATTTTCCACCACTGCGGTCCTGTACCACAGTAAACAAAACATATGTTTTGATTCAGTCCTGAAGTTGATTGCTCGTTGAACTGACAGAATACTGTGCCAGGTGTACTAACAATACTGTTTTTATTTTCTGCTGATCTCGATGCAACCAATTGGTCTTTAAGTTGTTCATTATTTGAAAAGATAAACGCCATTCGGTGAGAAAAGTAAGTAGTTCGTTTTATCAGTAACTTGTAACACAGATTCGCCAATATCTTTTTTTCGTTTTCTATATTAATTTTTGAATACCATTCGCAAATATTATTTAATTGCTCGAACAAAGATTGTTGGCATTTAGCTAACAACAGATAAAATAACAGAACTTTTAGAATCTAGTTTCACTGTTGATAAGCTGTCACATTTACCTGTAATAACTATGACGTAGTACTGCTGCTCACACATTTGTATCCCTGTGCTTTCTGCATTCTCGCGTGCCATTATTTTATTACAATGCGATCCGCTTAGCTCTAACCACTCCTCTATGATAGCGTGAGCGTAATTGCCACTAATGCAAATTTTCACTGGTTTATCCGCTGGAAACAATGATAATTCTTTCACCATATATAAGCCACAAGTTTTAGATTCAGCCTTTGCTATAGTTTGATCATAGTTCTTTTGTGGTGGTATCATACGATTTTTGATCATTAACGATACTTTAATTAAAGAAGCAATACCAGCTGCATGTTGTGTATCGCCAATGTTTGATGCTATACTACCAAAACAAAGGTGACTGTCCGTTTCACATCGGTTAAAAAAGTCGCTGATTATCTTTGCTTTATGAAAAACATCATATTCTTTATCAGCATGATCTATTTCAACATACAATACTTGCGACAAGTCAATTCGATTTCGCACAGTATAAATATCATTTAATAATTCGAATTGAATATCCAAGGGTGAATTTAGACAATCGCTTTTATTCAACTTATTTCTAGGATACGAAACTATATCCCGAATAACACAGTAGATTGAATCAGAGTCTCGAACAGCATCAGATAATCGTTTCAATAATACCAAAGCAACACCTTCACCTATAAGAAAACAAACAGATTAACAATCATATGTTGATATCAATGTCACAGCAAATAATTCTTTTACAATGAAAATATTTTTACTTTAGTTTCTCTATGATTTAGAATGCACCGTACATTTGAGACTCATTTTACGTTTTCTTTAGATTGAGAGTGAGTAACGGCATGCATTATGTATGTCCTTAAATACCTTGAAATATTTACTTATTTCATATATATTTTTTATCTTATAACTAACGGACGTAGCTGATGTATGTCCAGAACCTTTCAGATAGAAAACTTCACCTTACAAAACGATAGGGATGCCGCGAGGTTTGTTCCTAAAAGTTTTCATCCATCTCTCTATTCTATTACATTTAGATTTGGAATTTAAGTTTAATCTATCGCGAATACATACACATCCATAATGAAGTGCGATAGTTCAACCAATACACATATCGATTAAATAAGGCAATCGAAACTGAATTCAATTTCAACCACTTTCTGAGTGGCGCCAGCTATAATAAAACTACCGAGGTAAAGTGTCGTCTAGATATCCTTTTTCATGATCTCTTTCGTTCTTGCATTGAGTCTAAAGATGCGCTATAGAAAGTGTGGCGACGTTAGCTACCACGGAAATATCCGATCAGTTTCTGACCGTTTCCAGCTCGAAGTTTCCAGGAAACGGTCAGAAAACGACTGGAACCTACGTTGGAACTTTCGGCCGGAATCCAGCGGCAAGGAAATGGTCGGAAAATGAACCTAACCGGCCGGATCCGACCGTGCCATTATAACCTGGGAAGGATTAACCGAAAGGTAACAGAGCACCGAAAAAAAATCACCAGAATAATCAACTCTCAAAAAGGGTTTATAACTGGAAAATTCATTTATCAGCGTGATCTACCCCTTGATGAACCCTTTTTTCTTGCAAAACCCACGAAGGGTTTATTATCCGTTGCAAACTGATAAACGCAAGGGTTGATTATCTCTTGATAAACCCTTTTTTCGTTGATCAATTGGACCAACCCTGAGACCCAGAGTTGATCATCACCTTTGAGAAACCCATCGTTCCGGGGTTGATTCNCTACAATTGCGTCTGAAGTAATAGAAGATGTTTTTTATGCGTTGATCACTTAATTAAGTGGAAATTAACGGTTAAGTGTAACGCGTTAATTGTTAATATTAACGTTAACATCAACCGTTAACGTTAATTTCAAATTAACGGAAATGGTCCATCTCTAGGACCTTATAGTATAAAGTACTCTACTAGAAGTACAAGTACAAGTACAAGTACAAGTACAAGTATTTTCTGGCAAGTACAAGTATAAGTACAAGTACTCTGAGCTAAGTATAAGTATTTCTACGTTGTACTTGAAAAGTACAAAAAGTACAAGTACATGTACTTGCGTCCTACCTCTGTATTAAAGCATGAATATGTGGTGAACCACGAGCCTGGAATTCAACTCTGACATATTTGTCTTCTAATTCGTAGCCTTGAAATGGGCCACTAGGAGCTGATAATATTTCCCAAAGACATTTTATTCTATGTTCAAAATAGCGAACACATGTCACAGGATCGTTCCTTATCAAATCACACTTCTTTTCGTAGTTCATATTTTGTGCTTCTTCTAATGTTATTACTTTATTTTCCAACACCTGGGTCAATATCACAATAAGTTCTGACCATTTCGTTTCTGCTGCTGATAGAGTTAAAAATAATGCGGCACAACCCAACTGTCTGTTCATAGTCATTAGTTCCTTTTTCTTAAGCTCCCAGAATGCTGGTGAAGATCGATCAAATCTTAAGAATGTAAAGGCATCATCGCTGTGTATCAATCCATTGACATAATCTCGATTAAGCATTTGTGCAACAGTTGCATTTTTTGTCTTTCTCAGATTTATTGAAATAGCATCAGAGAATTTTCTTGTTTCTAGCTTTTTATATGTGAAAAAGAGTTTCGACACTCGACCACATCTTCTATCAAACATTCTTAATTCTGACTTTGCAATTTTAGCGTATGTTAACTTGGTATTTTCTTTAATTTTTCGTTGTTTCCCACAATAGATCTTTGGAAATGTTAATTCGTCAACTTTCAAATCCATTAAAATAGATATAGGTCTGTTATTCTCTGCTGGGGCAAATTTAATACCAATATCATTCGAATCCTCGGTCTCATCATTCAACAACGTTTCGATAACCGTTGGATTAACTGGTTTGTCATCGCATTCATTCCAATTGTCATCATGATCAAAACTTTCCGCTGTCTTTTCATTTTCATCAAACTTTTTATCTTCGTTATTGACAAAGAAATTTTCTTTTTCGCTCGAATATTTCTTAATCCAATCACTCGATATGACAATACCTTCATCTCTATATAATTCTTGTTCAACAAGATAAGCTATCACGGTATGTACAACTTTTGGTCGAATAGTTTCATACATAAAAGCGTTTTTATTTTTCATTTGTCTCATGAGTTTCAACTGAATCGTATGAGTATCACTAAAGCTTCGAGGCAATATTGACGCATTTGTGTCAACATTCATGGGAACATTTACTAAATTACCTTTGAGACCAAATTGTTTACAATAACCTAGAGTTCGAATTACCATGAAAGGGATTCTCGGTGATATCAATCTTTCCTCCAATTCGGTCAAGATTTTCAAACAATCTGGTATTTCATAGAATGCTAAACCATTATATAGACAAAGGTTTGGCACTTTTTTTGACATGATGCCCTTTCTGCAAGTTGTACATAATTTAATTGTAGTACTTTTGAGATAGCAGACTGTATCAATGAATTCTTCTGTAAATCCTTTGTTTGCTAGGATCTCAATTGTATATTCTCTGATATAATACTGGAACGATAAGCCACCACAACAACTACAAATATGGATAGGCCCTTCTTTGATCTTCGATTCATAATTCGATGTTATGCTATCTAAGTTACTTTTGTATTTATCTCTACCATTTCGCATTCATATTGCATTTCTTATTCTTTCTTCGTTTTTGTATTCTTCGTCTTCACGTTTAAGTTTCAATGATGTCAATCTTCGCTGATTTTCCCCGGCTTTAAAATCATCACTTTGTCGAGCGATTTTCAAAGCCTCTGCTCTTCGCTGATTCTCCTCTGCTTTGAATTCATCACGTTGCCGAGCAGTGTGAAGAGATTCTGCTCGTCTTCGATTATCCAGCAATCGAAATCCACTACCAATTCTTCTTTCTTTCATTTTCTTTGCCATGTCGGTATTCCTTTGGGATATAGACCTTCTTTTCAGCTTAGGCATTTTGCTCATAAGTCAAAATGTTATGCTTTAGATTAGGATTAATTTTTTGCACCGCAGATAGTGAAATCAGATGCAATTAAGTTAGGTGGTAATTTTCAAACAATCACAATTTCTCGTTTCGATTAAGTACGTATCGTCGCTTATTTCGGCTTATACTTATTGAGAAGCGTATTTATCTCTGAACTTGTTGAGATAAACAATTAAAGAAAGTTCTTTTCGAGAAGAATCTTCGTTGAAACTTAGTGAAGATACACCCGATTCTAAGCAAGAAACTTTCCAAAGTCAACTTGATAGTTTTCTTTCAAAAATAAATCAAGTTTGTAATTTTCTTTCAATTGTCTTTCAAAATAATTATGATTAGGGGTGACACTTTAACTTTAACTTTACTTTACCAAAGTAGATAAAGTTTAAAGTAAAACTTAAACTTTAAAATTTTAAAGCAAAGTAAAGCACTTTAACTTTAACTTTAAAGTTAAAGTTAAATCACTTTTCAACTTTACTTTAAAAGTCAAAGTTAAAGTT